TGTTTTCCAGGAATAATTGAATTCAAATGTCTTGCCTCCCTTTCAGTATGGGCATTCTATTTTGGTTCTCACTCCACTGAATGTTTTTCTGCATTTCTATCTGACATTCTTGCCTTGAAAAATAAAATGGGCTCTCGTAGGAGGCCAAAGATGGAAATGGAGAAGACCAACTCATCAGCCTGTTGTCAAGAACACAGATTATCAAGTCCCTTCAGAATAACCAAGGTCATCATGCATTTTGATCTCATTTTCCTGTTATGCACTATTTAGGTTGAAGCTTACCAATTAGAGGTGGTTTCTGTATAAATTCTGTATTAAGTGTGATGTCGTAACATAAATAAACCTCAGCACCAAAACCCCAGAGCACTGCTGCTTTCTCTTTTTACCTTGTTTGCCCAGTCTACTTTTTACAACTGAAGCTTACACATCTACTATCACAATTTTCACTCCTCTCAGTTTAATATACCTGAAATTATTCATTCTCCTCCTCCATTAAATCTCTTAATAAAGACAGTTCTCTTTACAAAAATTTCATGACTACTCTTATGACAACTCAGACATTCTTTTCTGTTATATTAAGAAACCATGGAACAGGTTGCCCAATAATTGAAGATAGCAGTAGATTCTACTACTTATAATAAGCTTTATAACTACTTGATAAGCTTGAAGTCTTTATCTGAAAAACAGGGATAATGACTCTAGTACTTAAGGAGTAATATAAATTAAATGCTGAGCACAATGTCTCACAGATAATAGGCAATCAATAAAAGGAAAGTGTTATAATAACTATTATTCATCAATATGGAACTAATTCATTCAATAATACCTCCCAAATGTCATTTTGGAGGAGGCAGATTTGTGTGATTTCCACTTTGGAACATCTCCTCTCTGCCAGTCATGGTGCTGAGCAGTAAACATCCAACAGTTCCGTTATGTAGTTATTAATAGCTACATTTAATGATGAGTTAACTAAGATTATTTGGGCAAGCTTAGATGGCAAGAATTGGGACAAAGATTTGAAAACAGGACTATGATTCCAAATCTCAAACTATTACTGTATTCTACACATCTTTCTTTGATAATTAAACTCACAAATAATTAAACCCAAAGATTTGGGTTAACTTCTTCCTTATTATGTCCTTACTTAACAACAATAGTAGACTCTAAGCTGATCTTATTTTCACTTTTTACCCCCAGCAATCTATCTAACACTCAATACACAGAGATTTGGGAAAGTCCTTTCCTGGTGGCGTTTCTTCTGCTTAAATGTCTTCTCCAGCTGCCTACTAACTACTGAATCAAGCCTACACTCATAGCTCTAAACGTACCTTTCCAGATAACCGGTTACCATTTTTACTAAAGTTTCCAGCAGGTTTTGCCTATTGGACTGTCTTTGATCCCTTGAATATTCACCCCGACTTTAATTATTCTGCTCAAGCTGTGGTCTCCATCAGCATTGGTTTTTCCTACCTGTTTCCCACAACCAAATCCCACCCACCCTTCAAGATCCAGCTCAAACACTGCATTTCTGTGGATACTTTCTGAATTCCTAGATAAAAGTGATCTCTCTCTTAACTTCAAACCTCTTTGGCAGTACATTCTTCTGTTAGATAGTATGCTCTACTTCATTTAATTATCTGTTATACTAATAATCGCCTGTATCCTCTCTAGGTTATGATCTCCTAAAGAACAAAATCTGTAACCTTTATATCACTCACTGAGTTCATAAA